ACATTTGGCACAGATTTTAGACATTCCTTTGTCATTTGTTAAGCAGCAAGAAGAATCCCCACTCAACTATATAAAGTATGGCAGTACCACTTTCTCTGTTTACAGGTGATTGAAAAATCACAACCTGCTGCATTCACCTCTGGATAGCACATTTAACTGTCCATACCATTGTCTTTGCTCCAGAATCGGTACAGGGCAGGTATGTGAGGAATCTGAGCTTTTTCTCATCTCCTTCCAAAACTACAAATCAGGACTGAAAGGATGATTTTGCTTACTTCTAAAGGGGAGTTTTTTGGTTTTGTTTTTGTTTTTGTTTTTTTTTTTTCCTGCACACTAGGGCTTCAGAAGCAAAATTATACACCTGAAATGCCAGAAAAATAATATGGCCAGAAGACTGAGAAGCTCTTTTCAGCTGTAACCAGACTCACCACGCAGCAGCCTGTAGTACTTAAAATCCTCTTTAACTAACTGCATGTCAAGACTTGCCTGTTTCGGACACTGTTAAGACGGCCAGCCCCCATATTTTACATACCCTCCTAATTGCATTCATATGTTCGGTTTCATATTTGACCTCTGTTGCAGCAGAGAGCCAAGAAAAGCACTCTTTTTCTGAGCTCTATGCAGGAATGGAGCTGGAGGGTATCACAGATTCATAAAATGGCTTAGGTTGGAGAGGACCGTAAAGACCATCTAGTCTCAACCCCTTGCTATGGGAAGAGCTGCCATCCACCAGGTCAGGCTGCCCAGGGCTCTGTCCAGACTGGCCTTGAATACCCCCAGAGATGGGGCATCCACAACCACTCTCAGAAACCTGTTCCAGTGCCTCACAACCCCGAGTAAAAAAAATAAAAAATTATTTCTAACATCTAACTTAAATTTCCCCTCTTTTAGTTTAAAGCCATTTTCCCTTGTCCTATCACTATGAGACCATGTAAAAAGTTGGTCACATTCCTGCTTGTAAGCTCCCTTCAAGTACTGGAAGGTTTTGGTGAGGTCCTCCTGGAGCCTTTTCTTCTCCAAGCTGAAAAAGTCTCAATCTTTTCTCATAGGAGAGGTGCTTCAGCCATTTGATCATCCTCGTGGCCCTCCTCTGGATCTGCTCCAACAGCTTCACATCTTTCCTGAGCTGGGGGCCCCAGGCCTAGGCATAGTAGTCTACATGGAGACTTACAAGGGCAGAGCAGAGCAGGACATCACTCTCCCTGCTGCCTCCCCCTTTTTTGATGCAGACCAGGATATACTGCTGGTTCATGTGTGGTCTTTCGTCCATCAGGATCCCTAAGTCCTTCTCCACAGAACTGTTCTCAAGTAGTCTACTCCTTGTCTGAACTTGTGTCTGGCATTGCCTCAATCCAAGTGCACTCGGCCTTGTTAAACCTCGTTAGATTCCCATGTGCCCACTTTTCGAGCATGTCCATGTCCCTCTGGATGGAATCCCTCCCTTCTATTGCATCAATTGCAACACTCAGCTTGGTATCATTGGCAAACTTGCTGAGGGTACATTCAGTTCCATTATCTATGTCATTGATAAAAATGCTGAAGACAAGCCCCAGGATGGACCCATGGGGACACAACTTGTGACCAGTCTTTCCTTGGACATAGAGCCGTAAACAATGACCCTCTGGCTACAGCCATCCAACCAATTCTTTGTCCACCTAATAGCCCAGCCTTCAAATAAGTCTCTCTCCAATTTAGAGATAAAGATGTGATGCGGGACCATGTCCAAGGCCTTGCACAAATCAAGGTAGATGAAATCAGTTGCCCTTCCTTTGTTCACTGATGGTGTCACTCCATCATAGAAAGGCACCAGGTTGGTGAGGCACAATCTGCCCTTGGAGAAGCCATGCTGTCTGTCTCAGATCAAACCATGTGATCTCACATGTGCCTTAACGTCTTTTCTAGGAGGATCCATTCCATGATCTTCCCAGGCAAAGTGGTGAGGCTCACCAGTCTGTAGTTTCCCAGATCCTCTTTCTTCTCTTTCTTGAATGTGGGAGTGATGTTTCCCTTTTTCCAGTCACCAGGGACTTCTCCTGGCAACTACATCAGCCAGTTACTTCAGAACCCTGAATGTGTTATCTGGCCCCATAGACTTGCACATATTCTACCTCATGAGGAGGTCTCAGACTCGATCTGCTCTTACACTGGGAGGGATTTTGCTTCCCTGATGCCTACTTAGAAGTTCAGGGACATAAGAGACATGAGAAGCCTGACAGACCATGAAGACTGAGGTAAATAACTCGTTAAGTACCTCAGCCTTCTCCATGTCCAAGGAGGCCAGCTCTTCCTTTTCACTGACCAGAGGGAATACACTCTCCTTTGCCTTTCTCTTCTGTACAGTGTCTCTATGGAATCCTTTCTTGTTGTTTTTCATATCCTCTTACCAAGTTCATTTCCATCTGCACCTTGGATTTCCTGACTCCATCCCTGCACATCTGGACAGCATTTCTAGATTCTTCTCAGGCCACCCATCCCCACTTCAGTGCTTTTCCTTTTCCTTTTTTTTCCTTTTTTTCTTTTTTTTTTTCCCCTCATCCTGACCAACAAGTCCTTGCTCAGCCATGCTTGCTTGTTTCCTGCCTTGTCTGCCTCATTTCTTATTCTGGGGAATGGAGATCTCTTGTGCTCTTCTTAAAGTGCTGCCAGTTTGGTCCTCTTGCTTTGTCCCTAAGGACAATTTCCCTGGGCATCTCATCCAACACTTCCTTAAACAGCCTGAAGCTGACTCTTCTGAAGTTCAGGGTCCTGACTCCACTCTTTATCAGGCTCACATGACCCCAAGGTCATGAACTCAACCAGGGCATGATTGCTATAGTCCAGGCTGCCTCCAATCTTAACCTCTTTTACAATCTCTTCCATGTTGGTAAGCACCAGATCCAGCAGTGCTTCACCTCTTGTTGGTCTGTCCAGTACCTAAATCAGAAAGTTATTGTCAGTGGACTCCAGGAGTCTCCTGGGTCATCTGTAGCTCACAATGTTGTTTTCCCAGAGATATCCGAGTGGTTGAAATCTCCCATCCAGCACAATGCCTCTTGGAGCTGAAGCAAGAAGGCCTTGTCAACAGATCCCCTTGATCAGGCAGCTTGGAGTAGACCATGACCACCAGATGCCCTTCACTGGTCCTGTCCCTAATCTTAACCCACAGGCTCTTAACCTGTTCCTGACTGTTTCTCAGGGGCAGCTCTTTGCAGACTATCCACTTCTTAACAAGAAGAGGGCAACTCCCCCACTTCTTTTACTTTGCCTATCCCTTCTAAAAATTTTACAGCCTTCAATCATGGTGTTCTTTTTGTGAGTCATCCCACCATGTTTCCGTGATAGCAATAAGATCGTAGTTTTCCAATTGCATCACGGTTTCCAATTCCTCCTGCTCACTTCCCATGCTGTATGCATTGGTACAGAGGCACTTCAGCTGAAAATGCCAAAAGTCACATCATTGTCTGCCTTGGACCCTTTGTAGAGACATATATAAAACCAGATAAATATGAATATTTGGAGCTAAATGCATGTGCTGCAAGAGCGTGTTATTGATGAGAAAAAAGTCGGAAGGCACAGTGACTCCTAGCTCATGGCCAGCAGACCACTGCTGTTGTTTTGGGGAAGAAAATGGGAAAAGCAGAGCCAGCCAAGGAGCAGACAGCCTACATAGGGATGGATTTCGCTCCTGGCCCTTTCTCAGGCAAAGCGAGAGCTTTTCCTGAGAACAACCCACAAGACTGGATCCACAGCTCTTCGGCCTGCAGCACTTCAAGACTTCCAGGTTGGAGACAATACGTCTGGAAATTTGGGGTGAGCTGCACCTCCTGTGTGTTTTACTTGGACAGTAGGGTGTAAGTAGCACGCTGCTGTGCTCTTATTTAGCTCTGTTATTACAACGCTGTTTGTGAAGCATGAAGAGTAATCCTCATGTAAAAATAATAGTATTGCAGAGCTAGACAGCAGATGGTGTTATTAAATACCTGGGCAAAGTCTAAGGTCGTAACGCTCTAACAATTAAAAAGATCTATTGTCTATCACTTAATAGGTAACCTCCTAGTGCAGGATGTTTGCAAAGCTGAGCAGAGGGGCAAGTAGTATCTTGTCCAAGCCCAGATAGCTCTTCCAGTTAAGCAAATACTTGGCAACTATTTTCTTGTCTAAATTTGGTGCTACCACCACGTCAGGTTGATACAATACGATCCCCTATCATTTCCTAAATGATCCCTTCTCTAATCAACTCCATTAGGTTTATAAATAGACCGCAGCTGCCTCAGGACTGGTGATAGTTGCCTGACATCCAGGTTCACTTACAAGACCATGGAGAGGCAACTTATTGGGTGATGTAAATGGACATAAGCCTGCTGCCAGGCACGTCTCCCACCAGCTGCAGGAGATGCTGGTGTGTGAGGCGTGCCTGCCAGCGGCCGTGGCTTTCCACAGGCACCTGCAGCTATGGGCCTCTCTCCCTGGTTGAAACCTACTTGTCTCAGTTGGTGAAGTTGAAGCTGAACCTCAGTAATACGTGGCACGGCTCTTCCTGCTGCATAACATTTTCAGTCAGAACTCTGAGGATTAATTTTATATTGTAGAGACTGCACTTTCTGCATTTTTCCCTTGGTGCTTGCCTGGCATCTTGTGACCTGAACCTCTCAGTTGAACCTCTCAGCTGAATGCTGGCATCCAGGGATGCAACTTGCCTCTTCTTCTGCTGTGAGCTTTTTTTACACACATAAGCAAGGCTTTCTGCATCGTTTTCAGAGATGTGAATCCGAAATCATCTCTTCTGGGACAAGGAAACTAAGGAGGCTAACAGTCACTCTTTGGGGTAGGTTTTGGATTTAGTTTAATGACTGTAATAGTGGTGAATGCCTTGGCAGCAGAAATAGACTGATATGGAGAACAATAGGGAACCTGTGACTTGGTACATTTGTCTCACAGAGGGCAGACAGGAGACTGGGAGTTAAGCAGAGTCCTGTGGCTGCTAATAGCTTCACACAGTACTTTTCCTCCGTGGTAATCACTCTCCTGCTAGGATCCACGAACTTGAGAACAAAGTACATTTTATTATTTACAAGGGTTAGATGACAAATACAAACAGATGGTGCAAAGATGACTCCTAATGCATAGTGATCAAGCAGTTTAATATTCATGGGTAAAGGCCTGGAAGATTAAGTAAACAGATTCAGATATGCAGGGGAAAGTATCTCATAACAATGCATAAAGTCAGCGTGGCCTTTTGTGCCCTGTTCCCCTTTGGATCAACACAATTAACATAAAGGGAAAGATAGGCTGAACTTTCCAGTCTCCCTAAAGTGTTCAAATCAGAGATTTCTGAGAGGAAGCCCTAGCAAGCAGTTTTGGCAAGATGGAGAAAATCCCTTCTCTTTTGCCTCTGAACTTTCTGTTCCTGCTCCAAAGCCCCTTCTGCAAAACAGGTTGCAACAGCTGAGCGTGCTCCAGCCTGCTGCTGTGGCTGCCCTTACGTAAAGCATTCTCACCTGGGTGACACAGGGCTTTTTGCTGCCACCGGTCAGATGAGTGAGCAAGGGTAACTCCCATGAGCAAGGGTTGTGGCATTAGGAGCCTAACCATGCTGCTCTGCCATTAATGACGCTTCTCGTGGCAAAAGCTGGGATCTCGTTGGTTTTGCTTTCGCATGTAGTCATCTTGCAGAGAGGATTTCAACACTGATGAATATTGCCAGCAAGGTCCTTGGTATGAATCATCCTGTCCTTCCAGATGACTTTTTCTTTCTGCTGTTTACATCAGCCGCAGAGAATTTTGATGCTTTCTTGTGTATGTGTGCAAAGGAATGTTTCATTTGAGAAGATATTTCCAAACTCTCTGAAGTCATCCCTCTATATCATTCCTTTTGTTGTTGCTGTTCTCGCTTTCAGAGTGGGCAGTTTGCGAGTTGTTCCTAAGGAGTTACTGACTGAGCACTGAACAAAGGGCAAAAAAGAAAGGCAGGGAGAAGGGTTCGTGAAAGAATCCTGCTGGACTGTGCCAAGAAGTTTGCTCTGCAGCATACATCAGCCTGCTATTTTCCTTGTCTACATCAGGTTGCATTGACAAAGGATTTGGGGATCGGTGTGCTCAGCCCTGGAAAGGTGTACATGTGAACAGGCTAGCAGCCCCTGCCTTCTTTTACACAAGGCCCTCATCACTGCAATAGTGTCAGGACACCGTGGCTTATGGACAAATGGGAGAAGCTACGGGGGTTGAGTTTGGGCTGGAGAAGGGTTAAAACCCAAGCCACAATATTCAAGAGAATGGTGGAAAGCTGCCCAGTAGCCTGCCAGCTGCTGGGTGAGGAGGTGAGCTCTCCTGCTGGTACTCCACCACTGCAGCTCCAAGGAAAAAAACCATACCTCGATCTCCAGAAAAGTAACTTCTTCTTTTTTTTTTCATGATCATCACCATTTGGCTGCTTTATTTTCATCTTTCTTCTGTAGCTGTAGCCACCACAACTCCATTCCTATGGCCATCTCCCAAATGACTGACGAACTCTGGGTTCTTTGGATGCTCTTTCTCAGGTTCTTGTTGTTCTACAGTGTTTTTTCCAAAGTACCTGACAAACCCTGGAAATGGCATTGGGTGCTTGAGTCCAGGTGAACAACACAAAGTGAGGAAAGGAGTGCTCATTGGCATGACTTCAGCCTCAGACTTGTAATGAAGCCACAGTGCAGTGTTGGGAGCACCTCCACCTTTGGTATCTGCCCAGAAAATGGTCTGGCTCCATGGATATATTCAGTGGGAATAGCTGTATAAGCTGGAATACAGTCAGATACATGGCAGAGAAACCTGCTCTGTGAATAAAGCCTTTGTTAAGAGGAATTCCATCTGTACATGATTTCATCAGCTCCATGAAATGTGCAGGACATTTATATGGTGAATTAGGCACAGCTCCTGTTTTGAGAGAGAAAATGCTTCTGTGTGCTTTTCCACAGAAGTCCGTTGCTACACAAGGAGGGGAAACCTTCTGCAATGCCATTACTGTTCTCACAGGACAGGACAAGCATTGGGACTGTGCTAACATGATTATAAAAATAATGTGCATTTTAAAAGCATCAAATGCACAAAAAATTGGCACTGCCTTTTTCTTTGCCTTCTCTCCCTTAAATGTGGAGATGCTTAAACAGGGTAAATAACATTCAAGACAGCTAAAGAGCAGTCCACAGTGCTGAAACACTTCTGCTGTCCAAAGCAGCTCCATGCCAGCTATTTCATTTGCCATATGTTTGGTGTGGTTTTGGCAGAGTCAACATGAGGATTTTTGGGCAGGCCTGCGAAACAGTTTTTCCCTTCCTCCACCCAAACGTGACCCAGTCCTGTCTGCCATGATCACACCATTGCACAGGGTCAGCCTGGCTGTTTTGGGCAGAATTAGTCAGAGGGGCCTCTGGAAACATGCCCAAGGAAGGCTGATTCATTTTCCATATGAGTGGCTGCATTAAGGAGCAGGAAGGAGAAGGAAGACACAGTGTTTGGGATGGAAATGCTAGGTGATGCTGAAGGAGCACACAGGGATTATAGGGTTCCTTCTCCGGGTCCAAGGCAGATGCGGTTGGGATGCGCTGGCTGTGGGGCAAGCTGCTAGCCCCATGGCACTGTTTTCAGCCATCCTGCAGGAACTGCCAGAGGCTGTGAATCAGTGACTGGAAACGTGGAGCTTTGCTCCTGGGGTTGTCTGGTTTCAGATGTGGAGAGCATAGGCTCCAAGCAGCCCAGTCCAGCAGAGAACTGCCTGATCTGTGAGCAGACTCTCCAGTGTGGGGCTTATTTTTCCTTAAAAATGAGTGGGATGCAGTGGCCAGACATACAGTCTAGCTGGTGCTATCCAGATATGGCCTGGGACTTGTCTAGCCAAACAAGGGAAGAAGAAAAGGGAATTTAAACACATCTTTCTGCCCTTTTGTAAGCGAGTGCTGAAAGGTGTGAAGGTACAGCTGCATCATTCCTTCCTGCACACATGCTGTGTGCTCTGAGCATGCATTCTCAGCAGTAGTTCACAGAAGTAAGCCTTGTTCCCCCAGCAGAGGAGCTTTGCCACAGGGTGCTGGGGTATCTGCTCAGCAGACTTGCTGACCTCAGGGAGCAGCTTTGCCAGGTGAGCCTTCCCAGCAAAGTGCCAAAACCCCTGGTTAGCACTGAGCTTGCGATCCTTCCCTTGCTTTCTGCTGGACTAATTGCTGGAAAGGTTGTGCAGTTGCATGGTGGCTCGGCACCCCATCTGATTGGCCGTACCTCTGCATTTCTGTTCTCTGAAACAGTGTTTCTGACCTGATTCACCTTGCAACCGGAGGGTGGAATTCAGCTTCATATCCATGGCAAGGAATGTAAATATTCCTGCCTATCGTCTTCTCAAGTGCACAATCTGAGTGTGCACGTGAGCAAGCAAGAAAGTATAGTTTCCAGTGGGGAGGCAGAAGCAGGGCTCTCCAGCCTGCCTCCAACTGCTTCTCTTCACCCTAGAGCTATTGGGGGCACCAGTCCTCCAACCAGAGCTGCTCAGGGGGGCAGGAGCTCCCAGGCAAACTGGGGATGGTCTGGCCTCCACCTGAGTGGGGCAAATCAGGCTGAGTCATCCAGAAGAGCCAAGGCTCTCTGGGCACGAGCCCCTCTTCCCAGAGGTGGCCTTTAATCCAAGCTGGCTGCATGCTGCCTGCTGTCAGCAGCCCTTTTGTGCCTCCACGGGTGTTTGCTGGTGCAGGGTGGAGTGACTCAGTCTGCGCCCCTACCCTGAGCACTGGAGAGCTGGGAGGGGCTGCAGAGTGCCTGGCTGCAGATCTCGTCCTTCCCTTTTCTCATTTCAGCAAAACCGTTGCAAATTTCACGGAGCTTTCCATCACAGGCAAACAAAGAGGAAATTGATTCAGAGTGAGAGCATTAACATCACCAAATAGTAAAGGCATTGCATAATGCTATCAAGCAAGCTTCCTCTACTGCAGAAGCAGAGGTGGGCAGAGTGAAGCTAAGGAAGTAAGGGGACAGTGGATGGGTGAGGGCAAGGATCCTTAGCGAAGAAAACCCAGAAGATAAAAAGCAAAAAGAACAAAAGGAGAGGTGTTAGGGAAATACGACTGAGCAGATGCAGTACTTATCTGCTTATGCATCAAATAAAATTCCTATGTGTAAACAAAAAGCAATGAGTAACATCAGGTGAAGGGCCAACGTGTGGGAAGGAGTTGCGCTGGTGTAATAAAAGGGCCGGTGTTAAACCATTTCAGTTAGAGCCCTGCACATGTGGGCTGCTGATGGAAGAAAAAGGCCTGGCTTTATGACTTCCAAGGAAGGATAGCAAACACCGGGGCTTCCCGGTGCAAAGTGCTGATCCATATGATAGTAAACTTCCATTTGATCAAACACTGGTGATGAGTCAGCACTGTACTGGCTGTCTTTATGTAGGATAAGGCAAGGTCTGTCTTCCAACAGGTGGTTTAATGCCAGCAAAACAACAACAACAAAACATCTAGAGCCAGAATAAACACATGGTACATCATTTTGGCTCTTCCAATAGAAATGTAACTGGGAATTCACAAATAATCTCAATTAGTTTTATCCTGGGTACTGCCACTGTCTAGTTTTCACTTACACCAAGACTATTTTAGTCTAATTGGCTATTAAAATATATGTCAATGTGAAAGTTTCTAGCTCTTCAGCGCCAGTGTAACTCATTTCTAGAGCAATGCGAATGCCAAGAGGAATGGTTCCCACCAGCCTCAGAGCGCTGACACACTCACTCAGCAAGCACCTGCCCTGGCCTCAGGTACCTTCCAGCCTCCCACGGGTTTGTTACTGAAGGGGTGTGCTCGCCTGTCTGCTCACCTACCGTCATCTGGGGTTTAAACTAGAGCACCTGACCCAGTATTTCAGATGGCAGTGCGGTGACTCACTCAGAGACATCTTAGCATGGTGGAGGGAGCTCCTGCCCCAGCACCTGCCCTGCCACACTGCTGGGACACACTGCTGCTGCAGGGCAGCCGGACCCCTGTGGGGTACCTCGGCCACTAGGCCTTAGCCAGTGGCTCTGCATGTATCGTTTCATCCCCCTCAGAGTTACCCACACTGTGACCAACAGACTCAAGTATTGTCTAAATTGTGCTTCTGAGGCAAAAGGAGTATGGATATCCACTTTTCATACCACTGGCTTGGTGCAAAGGAGCATGTAGATAGGGAGACATGAGTCCCACACGTCCTGCATTTTCTTGAGGTTTTGCTTGCTCTTTCTCTCTGGCAGGCACATCAGACTGTCCTTTGATCATCAGAGATCAAGAGTATTTCCACCCATACAAGGTAAGTCTGTTGCACGGACAGCTCAGAGGAAATAGAGCTCCTGAGAAGACCTGGTTTTGGGTGCATCAGTTCTTCTATGAGCATTTCAAGTGTTAGAGGAGTGTCTGGATTTTAAATGTCTTGCATGCAGCACACTGCTCCAAAAAACTCTCTACCTTAGGCTAGTCCTCAGGGTTGAATATTAATGAAGGCATTTCCCTACATGAGCAACATGTACTATCTCATGTTTTATGCCTGCCTCAAATTTAAAGTGTGTGAGTGCAAGTAAGTCTCATGTCAGGTCACCTGCAACTACAGATAACCGCAGATAAGTGCTGTGGCAATGGTGCTCTGCTGGGATGAGCTCAGAAGTGGTTTCCAGCGCTTCTTTCCCTTAAGCAATGAGCTGATCTGGGCTGAAGGCTGTTGCCATCCTAAGCTACAAGGCTGAAGGCTGGCCTGCCACGTGTGCTGGCACATTTGCGATGCCCCTAGAGGTATAGTTATCCTGGAGCTGCCATGGCAGTGGGGCTGAGCTTGTGTTGGACACTGCCAAAATTGTGACTGCTGTGACCAGCCTATGTCTCTGAGGATGTGAGGTGTGACTGCTTGAACAAACAGCTTATCTCACTCTTTCCACATTGCTGGCTTATTTTTGACCGGAGAATGGAGTTTCCCAAAAGAACTGAATTGTCACGTGCAATAGGATATGAAATACAAATTGCAGGTTTCTGCAGTAGCTACTTTTTCCCAAATCTCTACCACTACCATAATCTCAAGTCCTTTGAAAGGACATGTTTGGTGTCACTGCATTGCACTGGATATCCTTTATATGTGGGGCGGAAAGCAGCACAAGGTGGGACAGTGAGTGTTAGCCTGTGTCTGTGAGCAGATCAGCCTCTTATTCCTGAAATGCTGGTGATGCAGTGCTCTCCCTCTCAAAGCCCCTGTTACAAACCTTTCCATCACTTTCTGCATTTCTGCTCTTTGCAGGCACTGTCATCATTAGTAAGCCTCTGCTATTGGTGGCTGTGTTGCACTGTGGACTGTCTTTCAGAGATGTGTAAGGAAACCTGAGGCTTCTTGAAAGCATTCTTGCCCTTTCCTATCCCTGTGAAGTTGGTTATCAGTTCTACAAATTCTTACATACAGAAAACGCATTTGCCTACAGCAGAGATGGTAAGAAAACACTAATGGTGAGCAAACTGACCTGGGGGGGAACATTTCCAGTTCTTCTGTGGTGTTTTCCCTGCTCATTAAAGCCCCTCCTTGGGCCTAGGGCTGTGTTTGATGGCAGATGATAACGACTCCAGAAGTGTGTCCCATTGCCTGGAGGCTGCTGCTGTGGGATCCTCTCTGCACAGCAGAAGCAATATCCCAGCTTCCAATAAGGAAGAGGCTAGCTTTGTGTTTCAGCATGATTCATCTCTGGTGGAGAAACCAGGCTTCTTTCTGCTAAGCTCCCCCTCTGTGGCCTTTTCTGTAGTTTTGCATGAGCTCCAAGGCATCGCAAACAAAAGCACTTGGGAGAAGTCGCAGTGTGAATTTGTCATATACCAAAACCCACATTTCTTCTGTATCTCTCCAGCTCCTCAGGAAACCGGTGTCCTGGAAAGAGACCAAGTTGAATGTAATCTTATCTTTCAGCCTCTTTATTTTAAACCCAAATGGGTTCCTTGATCCTCTCCAACTGAAAACACCCCTTGGGATAATAGCAGCACATCGAGCAGCCGGTGTGGGCACAGGAGACCAGTGCTTTTCCTGCTAGAGCCACCTTTGGTGATGCCATCTTCCCATGCAGAGGACAGAGCAGATGCTGCTGTGCTGCTGCCTGCATCGGTTGGACTTTGGTTGGCAGGGCATTGTAAAATGACTCAGTGGGGATCAGAAAGTGGTGGAATCAAACAAAAGTCGCTTTGAAGCTGCTGTCAGTTGGCAAAAGAATAATTTAAAATTAAACCAGTTCTGAAACTATCTACCGCAAGCGGTTACAAGCCTCGGTGTTGTAAAACTGGGCTGTTTCCTCTTTTCCTCGCAACGATGATGTCCTTGATTCCTCCTTAGGCTTCTTTGGCAATTCTTGCACAGTAATAAAAAGGCATGACACAGCATATGTTTTGCGGCTCACCTTGCCAAACAAAATTACAACGTTAGTATAGCTTCTTCGCCTTTGCATAATTAACTCTACAAAGGAGATAGAAAGAGGGTAAGCATCTGTGCCAAGACAAAAGCAAAAACAAGAAGTACAGAAGTCTGTTTTAAAGTCATCTCTGTTCAAAGCAATTCTTTTAAAAATGACTTATCTTGAAACTGTTGCAGACAATTAGGGAAAGTCATACAGTTTCTAAATGTCTGTTATGTTTTACATCTGCAGCTACATTGCTAAGATTCAAAAAAAAAGAAGTCAATGCCTTTTTGAAAGCTCATGAAAGTTGTGCAGGAGAGCATCTTCTGCGCAACATGTGCTGGGGCTGGGAGGAAACAGTCTGCCCAGGCGTCACTGCCCACTCTTCAGGCTCAGCTGGCATTGTTCTCATGCTTAATAATGTTCAGGACAGTCTCTCTGTTGAACTGAACCTCACAGCTGCCGCAAGGGGAACTTGGTGCAGGTGGAGAGGTACGTGGGGTGAGAGGTGGGCCCAGTTCTGCCACCTATCCCACTGCCTTACTGTCATCCTTGTGTCTTGAAAGGACAGCACTTTGGCACTCCAAGCAAAGGAAGGGATCTCCCAATACACAGGATGATGAAAGGGAAAAAGGGAAACCCTTCACTCTATGGATCTGCCAAACTTGTTTCATAAAAAAGGCACAAAGCTACCACAACAAGCCCACTGTGCTTTTACCTATACTAGTGTTAATAGCTGAATTAGGATTCAAGCAGCCTGAATAGTTCTAATATAGAGCATTAAAGAGCAAATTCCGCTAATGCCAAAGACAAGACTCCCAGCAAAAAAGTCTGGTCCCAAGTTTCTGGCAAGTCCCCAGGCAATCCAACTAAGAAAAGAAGAAAAACAAAACAAAAACAACACCACCAACAACAACAAAGGAAGAAAAAGAGGCAAAATAAAAGAAAAAGGGGAAAATAGAAAAGAAAGAGATGAGGAACATTTTACAACCAGCTGTGGCAGCTGGCAGCAGGACATCCAGGTAGAGCAGGGATCCTGCATGTCTGCTCAGTCTCCCGTGCTTTTAGGCAGCCTCCAGACATGAGACCTTGTCTTCTCTTCTATCACATCCAGTGCAATCCCCACTGTGCACAGTGTTGTTCAGTCACAAAGATGTTGTCTTTCTGCTCAAAGTTCTCACAGAGACCTTTGCACAATGACACCACAGTCAAAACTTGTTTATTAAATGCTCATTTAGCAGAAATGAGGTCACATCATTTAATGGCTATTAAGATGCTAATGCATTAAACACACTACAATATCACCTGTTTATCCTAACCTTCATTTATCTAAATCACCTTTGCATTCATTGTGATGAGTGAGATTTGACTGTGTCTGCTAATTATGTAAGAGTTGAGCTAGCACCAGTTGATCTTACTGGTGCACCCAAGCAGCTTGGTAACAAACATCATCATCCACAGTAAACTGGAGCTATTCCTAGATAATGATGACAAGCGAAATCCCCAAATACAGTAGAAAAAAGTAAGTAAACGCCCAAAGAACAGCAAGAAGAGGTCTCTGCTTGGAAGGAACCATGGCTGAAGCTGTGAAGTATCATCCAAAATCATTCATCCCTATTGCTAAGCCAACCTATATCAATAGCACCATTCTGTGGCACAAACAATCCCACAAATCTCATGTAACGTGGAGTGGGAAACACCTTCATTCGTGTGCCACTGCCCCATGGTCCCCACACCCCTGGAGTCTGAGGGAATGTTTCCATGGCCCAAGCCCTGGTGCAGTAAGTCAGGGTGCCTCCAGGTATCAGCATCCCTCTCAGGGTGGCACCATTCATTTTATGGTGGTGCATGCTCAGCAGCTGTAGTGCTGAGCTCTGCTGTAGGGTTGAGCCCAGCTCTTTCTGCCTGCAGAGATGAATGCACGGTTGGCTCCGAGCTGCAACTAATAGATTAAAACTCCCAGTAAATGAAGAGTTTTGCAAAAGCATGAATGACTGATTTCACAAGGTGATTAGAATTATCAAGGGAAAACATTTCAAGAGCTCAATAATTTACACTAACCACCTGTACTTTTAAAATAACTTTCCCCATTCTCCTCCCTTAACTTTAAGGGATTCTTGCCATGTTCTTCAACCCATTTCCTTCCTTCCCTTCAGCTCTGATTGCTGCGGAACACTCTTAATAAAGAATGTAGCATATCACTGGAGATTGTTCTGGGATGAAAAATGCAATGTGATTTATTATAACATGGCTTATGCAGGCAGCTGATCTTAGCCTGCACTCCGCATCCTTCCAAAATCAAAACAATTTGCAATGTAATATTGTGAAATTGGGTTTATATTCCAGTTCGCATTTTATGATTCTTATCCTTAAGAAAGCGTTTTCAAATGCATTTTCAGTTAGTTAGATTTTTCCATGCCTGCTTTTCGCTTTGAACAGTGCTAGCAAAGTCATGCCATGGTTTGAAAGGCTTTATGTGTAAATTTGGAACTCGTATCACACCCTACTGAGCAGTGGGGACTGTTCATTTATTTGTTTATTAAGTAGGAGTTATTTTCTCTCCAGCATGCTATAAAGGCAGCTCTTTGACCTCATTTCTCATCATGGACAAGAACTGAATTCCTGGAATAAAGAAAAAAATTGAGAAAATGCACTCCCATTTTGACAAAAATAACTGAAGAGATCCTTCCAACTCAAAAAATCATTCAGGAAAAAATGCGGGACGTATCCTTCACAACCTTCCTTCCATTGGAAGCAGAAGATCTGTGACAATTCATGCCACCGAGGTTTGCTGCCAGGTGGAGGAGGACAAAGTTCACTCCAGAGTGGTTTGCTGGCGGGGCAGCTGAGCAGTGGGTGGAAATGCCCAGATGGGAGGCAGGGAGAAGATGGAAGGCAGAGAACCGAGGTGTGCAGAGGTGGCTGGGAGGACACATCACAGCCCCATCTCTGCGAAGGGCCCGGATGATGGCTTAGGAAAACGCAGACACAAAGAGCAGTTAGGCAGTGGTGCAGTCCCAGCTAAGTGCTTAGTTGTTAAGAGTCCCGAAGGACTTTTCATGCAGGAATTTCCCTAATCACATTTTAAGTCTGGTTATACATTGACAAGAAAAATGACCCACAGTGAGGTGCCCACACAGCCTGCTCTTTCACTCTGATAGCCCCAGGTTTCTGTGCCATGAGAAGTAGTGGGTTAACATGCCACCTTCACCCTGTCTGTGTCACCCAGGACAGATCTCAGGACTGCCTGAGTTTATTTTTATTTTCCAATATTTCAACTAAAGAAAATGTCCATTAGCTGATCTGTGATAGAAAAAGTAAAATAAGTATCCGTGCATGTGCTCAACACAAATAACTTACTTGAGAAACCCCTCATACACCTCTGCTTTGTTATTTTCCAGTGGTGGTTTTATGATGATGTGATGAAGCAAAAGGTTTGACACAAAAAGGTAGTCTTTACCCAGATACTGGTATCCAATAGGTCATCTTGTTAAAACATGGAATGGAAATGAAGAGGGAAGGAGCTAGGAAGGGAAGAAGGAAGGAAAAGCTGGACAGTTCAGGGTGTAAAGAAATCAGCCACATTGCCATTAGACAAAGAAATAGCATGCGAATAGTGGGGTGAAGACCCACTTTGCACAGGGACTCCCATTCATGATTATACAGTAGATAAAAGTTCAGTGAAACAGAAGCACACCAGCTACATTCACTTGGAGACTGTTGGCACCATGTTGTTCACTGCAGTTTCTCTTGCAGATGCAAACATTATCTTTGCTGCTGCGACACAAGCTGGGGTGAGCTGTCCTTCCAGCTCTTTCTACAAAAGTGCCAAGTGCATGGCAAGTGGGGTCCAACATACTGCTTTTGGCCAGCTCTCACCAAAGCCAACAGGAGCCTTGAGTCAGGCCACAGCTAGGTGCAAGGCTTTGAGCAAGCAGGTCTTCTCAGATGGGCAATGGAAAGCCTATCAGTTACAACACGTTTTTGCCTGAGCTGAATTACTTTTAATAGGTATTTTGTTTTAGGAAGCTTGACATGATGAGGTGGTGCTGCTACTTTTGATTTTACTTCAGGAAAGATGAACTGTACTTTCAGGAGATTCTCTGCTTGCCAGTAGTGTAACTTCTTTTAACCCAAATACTGTTTGGTGAACTTAAGTCTGCCAGTTGCCTAAGCCCCTAGGTATGTTCTTAAAAAATAAATAATTACCCATCTATGTCCTCATGGGTCTCTTAGATCTTCCTGCAGCTTTCTTCATAGCTTGTTTGGAGCATTATAAAGTCTGACCCAAATTCCAAGGGCACCGTCTGGAGAGTTCTCCAGCAGATGCCATGGATGCTCAGTTAGACTATGACTCTACCACAGCAGGCTGTACATTTGCTTTTTCTTCTTTTTTATAGGAGCTTCGAATGACTCAAAGGCCAATCATTGGGTGACATATCAAACTCTAACTTCTAGATAAAGAAATCGGACTGTCTGCAAGAATACCAGCTATTGTTATATCTGTAACATTTTCTTCTCATGAGGTGATATCAAATGCATAGAGAGGAGTAAGTTATAAAGTTGTACTAATGTGATTGTTTGGGATGTTAAAACAAAGTTAACAACTCCTTTACAAACCATCCCAGCTTCTGGGCAAACATCCCTGGAAGCTTCAGGAGTTCTCTTTGGTCCTGGCTGCCCCATAAAGAAACATCATTTATGCTGAATTAATTAGCTGCCACTTAACCCTGGCGCCAAGAGTTGATGTAATGAAGCAAAACAAAATGGAGCTAATGAAATCAATAACATCATTAAAATAACTCACAGCAGAGTTACTGGCTGCCGTGCCGACTGTGCTCACGGAACAATCGCTCAGCATGTAAAGGGACTTCTGCAAGAACATGTTTGAGCTATGAATGGCAGCCAAAAGCCAACTTGGCATTAAACTGCTCAGGTAGGCTTTTCCTGGACTGCATAGGGAGATTGCATGGGCACAGCCCTGGCCTGGAAGATTCTGATTGGTTTGGATGGATGGCATTATGGAGTAGAGGGCAAGCAGCTCCCAAAGCAAATTTCTAAATGGGAGTTTTAAGCAGGAAGGTACATTTAGGTAGAGCTTTTCTACTACTAATGCAGCTAGAGTAAGATATTTCCAGGAACAGTGCACACCATGCACTGGAAGAAGCTGAATGGGAAAGATTAAGCTGGTCCTGAAGGCGTAGAGTGTCTTGGTTGGCTGCTGAGAAGCTGAGGCCCTGTTCAACAGCGCTTAAAGAGCATGGAACATGGTGAGCTCTGGCTCAGTGAGAGCTTCTTGATGCTGTTCTTGCAGGCCTGAACCCCCATCACTGGAAACACACTGTAATGTCAGTGCTTAATTGAATGAAAGATCTAACTGCATGCTTCTTACACAGAATTTCCAAATGTTTGCAAAGTCTAAGCCTCCTCATTGTGCAAAGATATAATAGATACCATCAGAAAGTCTTAAAGCAGACAAACAGCAATGGTAAGTTTTGCACTGCTCAAGTTTTACACAAATAACGATGCTTCCACCGCTGTTAGTCAACCCTCCTGAATTTAATGACAAGTTCATAGACGGGGGCAGATAATTGTGAGTGTTAATATTAATTTTTCCTGACACAACTAAGTGCTAAATATGTGGGGCATATCTGTTTAGCTCTGTGCTGGTGCTCTTTCTGTGCTCTTCCCTGAGCACTGATGACAGCTGTCATCTCTTTAATTTAGCTTCTTCCTGACTAGATGCTCTGCAGTATTTGACTCTGACTTATACAGGATACTTGGGTCTGTGGGCAAAGGTGAAAGGTAGCTGGGGTGAGAGTGATCTTCAAGTGGCAAATCTGAGGCAGAAAGGACATTTGAAGAGTTAACAGTGCTCTAAGGAAGTTGTGTGGAAGGCACAATCACAGAAGAAATGGTAAAGAGCTACTTGTGAACTCCTTGGTAGCAGGGAAGCTTAGCACAAGTCCTAGAGGGGGCCCACAAGGTACAAAGTAATTAAACAAGAGCTCTTCATTAGTTTCAGATGTGCAGAGGAAGCAGACAGAAAGTCAAACTAGGTCATGTTACTAAGAGGAGGAATGAAATGAAAAAGATACAGGTGATGCAACAAGCAGTGGGTGTGAAGTTTATGTACTTGAAGTAAAAGGAGGGCCAAAGAAAGACCTGAGTTTCACAAGGAGGAGTTACTCAGTGACGATACCAAAGACACAAATGGTTGTTACTTTCTTCCTTTGGTCTCCACTCAAAGGTGCCCAAGAGAGCAAGCAGCTTAATTTCAATTCCTGGAAAATGCTGGAAGTAGAAATTGGTTAAGCTGTTTTCCAGCACCTAGATGACAGCAAGCAGATGAGGAACAGCAAGCACTGATTTGACAAAAACAAATCATATCCGATCAATCTAATTTCCTTCCATAGTAGGTCTCAGATCTTGATTTTAGTAAAGCTTTTGCTATTGTCTCACCTGACACTTTCATAAACTAAGTAAAGAAACGTGGTTTAGAAGAAACTGCTATTAGAGGAGTGTACAGCTGGTTGGAAAACCAGACTAAAAGCAGTTATAAATGCTTCACTGTCAAACTGGTGGTACGTATCAAATGAAGTCTGAAGCCATCTGTTTTGTGTCTGACAGTGTACGGTATTTTCATTAATATCTTTGAAGAAATGAGAGTAGGGAACACTTATTAAATTAGCACAGGACACCATGGAGAACAGGATGAGAATGCAAAACAATCTTGACAAATTGGAGGAATGCTGGGGAAAACAAACGCCACTGAGCAGGGACAAAACACAGCTCTGCAGTTGCGTAGGCGTCATCAAGTACTAAAAGACGGCTGGGAAACAACCAGCACAGCGGCAGTTCTGCAGAAGATCTAGGGATGACAGCTCAACATGAATGAGCACGGTCACGCTGCAGTAAAAAATGAAAGTGTTGTAATGAGGTGTACAAACAGAAGTTCAATCTGCAAGAAACAGGAAATAATTCTTTCACAGTTGTCTATGCTGTGAAGACTTCATTTGAACTGTGCAGTTTTGGCCACTGCAGTTCAGGGAGATGGTGAGCTTATAGCAGAAAGATGAAAGGAGAGCAGTAGTAGTAGTGGTCCAGAAAAGGTGCCGAGGGAAAGGCTGAACAGTCAAAACCCAGAAGAACGTCGATAAGATTTTTCTCTACCTAAGTGTACAGGCGAGGAAGACATAGCAGTGGTCATCTTATAAATCAGAAAGGGAGTAACTTCAGTCCCAACTCCATTTGGGGTACTAGAGTAACGGCCTTAATTTAGAGGAGAGGAGCTACACTAAAAATACCTTCCAAAAGCAAGGATAAGTAAGCACTGCAGTATGTTGCCTGGAGAGCTGTAGAGTTCCCAGTGTTCTGAGAGTGCAAAAAACATCTGCCAGTTGGTCCTGCCTGGGGTTTGGGGAGGAGCAGATGGGCAGCCATCCCACCAGCCCCACCTCTTAAAATTTTCAAGACTGGATTAGCTTGAGGATTCAACTCAGCCTTCAGTTGAACACCTCAAACATAGGAGACCATTCCACACTGAGGACAACTGAATCATGCAGAGTAATTGTATCTTTAGTTAATGAAGTAGCTTTGGTTAGAAAAAGAGGACAATAGGAAGACATAAAACCAGCATGGATTGATTCAGCTTAATAAAATGAGGTAGTTTTATTATTTGCTTGCAGCAGCCTACTTGGTGTTATTCCCCTGACAGAAATGACATCGTATAGCAAGCTTTTGGGAATCTGTTGTTAAGGGTTTCCTCTTGCAGCTTACATAGCAATACCACAGCTATGCATAAATATCCACAAACTCACGCTTTCTCCTCTCTTACCTTGATGGTAACCTCCTCTCTAATCTCCTGGTCTGTCAAATGTTTCCTGTTGGCTGCTGTAGACATCGTTGCTTGTGCCTCAATGCAACTGTTAGCTGTGACAGCCACAACTAACACAACTCCCTGCCTTCCCTCAGGTACCTAGAAATGCAGCTCTGTCATCTTCCTGTTCATGTTTAGCCTGCCCCTTGAAATCCTCCAGGCTTTTATATCATGCAGGTTTGTGTCCCTCTCTACTCATTAACCTCTTTCCCTCTAGCCTCATCCTTTCTCTGTGCTACATTAGACTTCTGCACTTCATCACATCAAGTCTGCAGCTGACGTTTCCCTGGCTGCCCACAGACCTAACACTCAGTGCAATAATGGGGAACTCCATCTCAGTTGAAGTGAAACGCAAAGAGGGAACTCTGGTAGTCCTCAGCAATCCCATCTGAATCTATCTGAGTCTAGAGGTATTTCCTTTCTCTCTTCATGAGATTCATTCACTTCTCCTTTCTCATGACCCAGTCTCCTTACTTGTACAGCAGAATTGATGGCTCAGATGGTGCCTTCTGACCTTAAATGCCTGAAGGTTAACTAAGAGTGGGGGCTCATGGCACAAGTAAGAGCACAGCATGTTTTTAAAGCTCTATGTCTGTAGAGGTGGATGTAGACGTGAGTTGCAGCTTGGAGCAGAAGCATTTGAAGGTGAGGGTACATCTCATCACTGTGTGGGGATGATACTTGTCTCTAACTGCACACAAAGGACATTTCATCTTTCCTCCCAGCTCATCCACTTCCCCTCCCATAAAGGACATAAAAAGAAACCAAACAAGAAGAGCAGCCAACAGAAACTATCACATGTTTGGGGAAAGCTTGCAGTACAAATATTTCAAACCAGAACTGCCTAAGATGACCTTACAAGCAAAATAGACAACACCTACGTATTGCGATGGAAATGACAAAGCAGGGAAATTGTTGCAGACACAGCACAAAAGGACATTAACTGCAGATTACACAGATTAGCAGAGCATTACAAATTGTACAAAGGAAATGCTCAATTTTTCTTTTCAGTATTAATAAAAGACACCTGAAATCAGCAGTACCAATGATTCCTTTTGTGGATTTCAGGCAATATGTTGGACAGCCACATGTTTCTCGCCGGCATCAAGCAGCCTTGCTTTTACTGCAAGAGAAGAAAGAAATTTCATCAACATCAGGGGCACCATGCAGCCATGTCTCTGTACTCATTCCTGAAATGATCTGAAATCTAACAGAAGGCATTTTATTCACAACTATTGTGCCTACTAGCTTTCACAGGTTTTCAGGACTTCTCAAAAGGAGCTGGTTCAGGAGCTCTTCCAGAGGGACCTGTTCATCAGCCCACCCCAAGTGACCATTGGAAGCTCTGCAGTGATGCCCACTTCCAGGGCTGCAGTCGTCTAGGCATGAGGCCACTTATGGCCAAGAGCTCAGGCAGGAAAGCCAGGGCAGGCAATCAGGAGGCAGCTCAGAGGCTGGCAGCCCCCACAGCTGCTTGTGCTGCTTGGGGCCTTATGACTGTCTGTGTGCCATCCTCAAGTGAGAGTCTGGAGAGTGGGGCGATGTGCCCTGCGGTAATTTCTGCAGTGTCGCAGGCCAGGAAGCACCAGCAGAAGAGATGTTATGACAGTGCAAACAGTTACCTCCGCTGCAAGCATGATAGGAAGTGACACTGCAAACAGAAATGTAACCTGTCAAGGGCACAGCTACATGCTTGGGTAGACGAGCTTGTCCTTTAACCAAGAGCAGTGCCACAGCTCCCTGCTTCCCAGTGTTTGAAGACATCTGCACAACAAGAAAGCCACCCCAAATCTCCGACTTTTCCATATGAGTAAAGCTAAAGGACAGTGTTTCTGCTTCCTGGCAGCAGTCTGTGTGTGTGCATGTCAGCACTAATTACAGCCAGCAGGATGGTGTGTTTCAGATGTAAAAGCCTTCAGTGCCAGCACGGACCTTGCAGTGCTGCAGTGGAAAATATTAAGAGAGGATTACCAGAAGGCCCAGAAGAAATAAAATCACAGCAAAAGGAAATTACACTGAGGAGCACAACGTTTGACTTACAACTGTTGTGGTCTGAAACATAAATCTACACAGTACCAAGTGTCTGGAAAACTGAACACCAGCTGTACTGAAAAAAATCATTTTGCTGAAGTATTCTTTACCAAGGGTAACACTTAAAGATGTGTTAAGACATTAAGGTAAGATCTATGGATGCTGGCCCAGCACTGGAAGGGCTTCTAAGATGAGTGCTAGCTCTGTGCACATGAATGTGGTGTTTGAGATGGCAAGCCCCACCAGGGTGAGATCCCACATACCTCTGCTGCTGGGGAGAAAAAGCAAATGCCTTGCTTCTGTCATGAGACTGATGGAGAAGGAAGTGCTAAGCTACATCCTCCCTTCTGCCACTAGGGCATCCAGATGACAGCAGAGCCAGCCAGAAGGTGCAAATATCTGAAGCAGAAGGCAATGGATTAGAGGTGGGTTTGGAGGCCACTGGGGAGACAAGAAATGGAAAATGAAGAAAACAGAAGCCATGTCTGAGAGCATACATAAAAGGGTTGTAGAAGAATAAGACAATGGGCTAAACATGTACAAGCCAGAGGAAGGGAAAACTCAGATCCCAAACGGAAGGGAAAAGAAAGCATGGGAGGGTCATGTTAAAACTGGCTGTTAAAATTATCTTTTAATGTTTGGTAAAGCTACACTCTACAGATGCTAGAAATTTAAGATGCACAAAAACTTGGATTAGTATAAAATCCTATGGACACGAAGAGCATTTTGAAGGCAGGAGATATGGCCTGTGAGACAGGTACCCCATGTTCCAGGAGGTGATTATAACCACCTCTTCTGGAGCCAGCTCTCCTCAAGTATGGCAGGAAGAGCACGCATGAGGAGCATGCATCTGGCAGAAGGCCCTAAAAAACAGAGGACATCCCACCACGGCTGACCCATACTCATACAGAACCAAAGCTGGGATAGAGCCCCTGCCAATGCCAAGCCTGAACAGGTGAGCTGTGGCCTGGCAACATCATGGCGGTCTGTGAACAGGAGTCTGCTACAGACATGAGGATCAAAAACCTTGGCTCATCATTACAAGGGCAGCATCCCCAGCTGGCCAGGGGTGGTGGAGGAGGACCTTGAGCTGAGAAGGGTAACACTGAGCTCTTTTGTACTGCATTCACCTCATCAGCACTGTGAGAGCAGCTGGTGTGATGGACTCCACTTGCAGGCAACCTCCAAATCAAATGGAGGCATAATGACAACACTGATGACCATGAAGTCAAAGATCATATGAAACTACTCAAGTGGTTCAAATGCACTGAAACCCTATAATGGCTGAACAATTGAAATAGAAAAGGAGTACGTATGAATGTGACCAAAGAAGGTAAAAAAATATGCTGTTTGTTGCAGATGGAGGAAACTCTCTGTTAGGCAACCGAGCTAGTTAACAACACATACAACATTACATGTACACTAGGAAGGAGTGTGGTCTGGGCATTGCCACAGTTCAAGAAAGAGCCCTTTCATGTATTTCCCAGGAGCCTGGACTGTTACTTCATGTGTGGGAATGTCAGGCTGTGACCTACAGGAAAAGAGAGGGCACGAGGGAACCAGATGGCCGAGTGACCCCAGTGCTGTTCCCAGAAGAAGCAGGAGCAGGCAAGGATGGATCTGGTCACTGGAAGGAAAAGTGAGCCCTAGGCAGGTCCCTCCGTGCTCTGGGTCCCTACTGTTCCCTGTCCCACCAGCCCCCTTCTCTCCTCCGAGCCAGCTTCCCACCACACCAGACTGCCCAACTCCCACTCCCCCACCATCTCATCCACCACAGCTATAATTTTCCAACTCTGGCAAGAAACAGAAGTATCAGCATAAGCATATGCCTGTGCTTGCTGAGGGACAGAAGCAGAAACCTTACCACCTCTCAGTAGTGCCTCCAGCTGCTGCCTTCCCAGTCTGTCACATTCTTTATGTACCACGTGGCTGCTTTGGCACAGCTCAAGTGAGTGTGGGGAGCAGCAGTAGCCTGTGGTGGCCATGGTGGCTCGTACTGGCTTTCCAGCCAAGACAGACAGGGGATGCCCCATAAGCAAATGCTGGTGACCCCAACACGAGTGCTACTTTGGCCACCACCACTGCCATGAAGCTTCTATGTCTGTCTTACACACAGGCACTGTGCATGACTGATGTAACACAGAGGGTCTCATGCAGTGACGAGTTTTCCCACACAAGCACTCCCCTCCATCTCTCTACAGAGCAGGAGGCCAGCTTCTAATGTCTGCCCTTCACTTCAAATCCTTGGTTTATGAAACTGTAGGAAAACCCTGGGACAGCGGATTGAGACTGACACCAGGGAGAGAGTTACTCATTTCCATGGCTGGTACTTTCCACAGCTGGTACCCCACCAGCCCACGCAGCATCAAAGCATCTCTGTAAGCCTCAGCAAAGACTCCTGGCCTGTCCTACAGGTGGTGGAAACTTGTAGTATATGGTGTAAAATGCCTCCAGGAAGGTGTTTGTGACAGGTAATGGCTAGTGCATATACCTGTCCCAAGGCAGGTTCTGTTGTTGTTCCATCGCCACAGAAATGATGTAACACTGGTTTTATTACAGTGTTGGAATCCAGCAGTGTTTTGCAGCTGGAAGGCTGCATCTGACACCCACCTGTGAGGCGTCAGTCCCTGAGGACTGGGGCTCTACTTTGGTTTTGTGGTCACTGCTGCTAGCACAAGAAAATGGACAGGGCAAAAAAAAAAACCCCAAAACAAACAGGATATAAAAAGCAGTCACAGCACTGCTGAAAAAATACCAGACAGTTGTAACTCTTAGGACTAACCTTTGGTGTCAGAGGAGTCAATGCCTCCGTTTCAAAAGAATGAGCCATTTTGCGGGTATAACAGCAATGCACTTCATAATCCCTTCCATACTCGGCTTTACTGGCTTATTGTGCAGAGCTATTAGAATCAGGATCATCTCTTATGAAGCTGTTAATGGGATGCAAATTGCATGAAAGATTTCTCCGCATCAGTAGAAAACAACCTAGTAATAAGTTATTGCATAAAAATCTGCATAAAAATCTGCTACAAAAGAAATACTTTGAAAGAAGCAAAAATCCTGCGTGACTAAGGAGGAAATGTGCTTTACAAAGTGCAAATGAGCACTGGTTTTAGAGGTAAAGGTGACCTACCTCAGAGTTTCTCAGATCCCAAAGAAGAGATGTGCCCTATGTACTCAGGTATAGTGAAACAGCACTTCACACAACATCGTGGCTACAGCCAGGTAAAAAAAAAAAAAGTGCAGTGAATGTTTTATGCACTGAAAGATGCAAGTTCAGGCTGACCAAACCTGCATGTGTGCTAAATTCAGCAAAGAGCTGTGGCCAAAATATGTACACTTGAAAAAAATGAAAAGTCTAAGCAGCTCACTGCATGTGATACACTCCTACTTTTCATGCTGACATGATGTTTTGAGAGTAGAATTGGACTTTCAGTAAGCTAGAAACACCTAAAACTTGCATGAAGTGTTGATCAGTAAGTTAAGAGAAATACTGTGCTGAGTCTGTCACATTGCTTTGCTGTTTGTTTTTCCTTTTTGGTGTTGACATCAATGTGACTGTGATTTCAGCTGTGGTTTCCAGAGAGCACTGCAGCATGCCTGCGGCTGGAAGGAGCCTTTTGCTGCTGTTCAGCCCATGCCACCTAGCACAACCACAGGGCACCGCTACTTCTCCCACGTGGCATACACCCCGCTCCCACGAGCAGCAGGGCCTCCAGCACCGTCATATACCATCAGTCTCCTACATTATGCCACAGAAATGCTCTTTGGTCTCCTGTTTTAATGTACAGCGCCAGAGAAGTGGGAAATACCAGAGCATGCAGTACCTTGTGACCTGTCCCAGTAGAATTGAGCTGCCTTTGGTACACCTGCTCTGCAAAACCTAGATGAGAAAAGCCGCATGGCTGGGATTCCTTTTTCTGCCCAAATTCCCTACGTGCAACAAGAGCCAGGGGACTGCAGCCTGGGATGCTGCTCTGTCTCAAGCCCAAGGGGCCAGGCTTTTCCTGAAATAACATCCACCTCTTGCTTTGCTGCCTGCTGGGCTCAGCTGATGCACACGGAGGAACCTAAATAAAGAAACACAGAGCTCAGAGCCCAGGCTTTTCCTCTCCGCTATCTGCATTCTTTTGCATTCATTAAAAAACAAACAAACCTGTTTCCTGATAGCAGGGAGGAAAATCACAGGATCATGTTTTTTTTTCTTTCACTTGCAATGGCTCAGATATTCTAGGGAGAAGCACTTCTATGGGATCTACACATGGAGATGAGAGTGTCTGGTAACAGACATCAGAACAAGCAACAAATGCCTCCATCCCTCAGGGATGGGAGGAGGGAGAGTGATGGGAAAAGCAGAAAGTGTGGGCATTGCTCTATCAACCAGATGCCGGAGGGGGAACTGGACTATTCCCAATCTTGCTCAGAGATCTGCCAGGAATGGCATTGATAGGAAAGGCGGAGGAACACAGCCTCGTATTTTTGCAGCAAGGATTGGCTTTCTGAAGGAGAGCTAAAAGAAACAACAGCTTCCCAATGAGCACAGAAATTGAGAGAAAATAGTAGAAAATGTCTCCAGATTACAGGGGTATAAAGATAGCCCTGGAAGCGGCCGCGCTCCTTGGCGCAGAGTCGCCAGTGCCGGGAAGTGCCTCACATCCTGTTCTTTGTATTGTTCTCCCAACTTGTCTGGTGGCTGGGAAAGTTTCTTCCAGCAATTTACCCGGTCCTCACCCTGCAGCTGGCCGGCCTGCCGCTATTGATTCACTTCCCCAGGCATTTCTCTTACTGTCATGCTCTTGTGGCATCAAAGCAGCCTCTGGGCCCAGGGAGGGGGGTGGCCGCAGCCCTCACTGCCAGAGGAAACTTTTCCTGCATACCAACATTTTTTAACCGCAGGGAATTGCGGCCACGGGAGTGTGGGTAAACGAATGCTCAGCTGAGGGACAGGTGGATTTAGGAGGCATTACTGCTGCTGTATGTGAGAAGAGATGCACTGCAGTGCCCAGCACTGCTCCATTATATATAAGGCTGTTTTCTCTGTCTCTGAGCACAAAATCAAACTCGCAGCACAAAGAGCCCTGGGTTTAGATATATAATTGGATCAAATTGTGTGTAATGACCTTGTCTGGTCTATTGTGCCTTTGTTTTCCACTGCAGCTTGCACCAGAGCAGGTACCATGTTTACATTGCAGTCAGGGTGACCTGACTCCCAGCCATCCTGGATTCATTCTTCAGTTAATGGTTGCTCTGGAAAGAGTGGGTTCTTTGGACAAGGCTGCTGTTCAGTCTCAGGTTGGCTGTGCCAGCGCTGAACAACCCTTCTGGCTGCATCCTCTGTGCTCAGCCCGGCAGAACGAGGCTGCAGAGAGCTGTGGATAATTGCTCATATACTGAGAAGA